ATAGTATTTTACTCGAATAAAGTAGTAGTTGTAACATTACGTGATTTAAAATAAATTCAATTTATACCTTTTAAAAAATTGATTAACCATTGACAAACTTGGCGTCGGAAAAATAAAAATTTCTTTATCTCATCATGCTGATAAATTTTTTCTAAAAATTCTCAAAGTCTTAAAATAGTTAGTAAATAATTAATTAACCCTTTCTGCGTGGTATGTACTGAAAACTAAATTTAACGAAGCGCCATAGTAAGTCAAGAAATCTTTGATAGCCGACGCTCAATAGAACCTGGATAGTGAGCGCCGGCGCTCTTTCCCGTACCGGGATTGGTGCCTCCAACCCTCTGTACACAAGTAGAGAATACTCGCGGCACGTTCCCTTGGAAACGTTTCGTTCGCTCTAATATCAAACTCCCTCGCGGATGAAAGGCCTCTTTCAATTACACTCCCTTTACCACTCATCCTTTTCCTCTCTTCTGGCGAGCTCTTCGATCCTCTCGTTGACGACTCTCCTGTACCTGTATTTCAGAACTATGCGACTTTCCTCGTCGACGTCAAACAACCGACCGTATCATCTAGAGGTCTCTTTGTTCCTATAAATTGTCCCCTTAATCGTTTTCACTTTATTTTTATAAATTAATTTTATTCTTACATATATTTTCTTCATTCAATAAAACAATTTAAATATTTTAATTTTCGTACATCCTTGACATTAAAATAGTATTTTTCTTACCTCGGTCAACAATTACATGTAATCTGAGACATTTCTTATTTTCCTGCCCCAGGTAAGAAAAATACTATTAAATGCTAGTATGTATATTATATAAAAAAAAGAGAGTATGAATTTATCAGTGATGTTTTTTTTTTTATATGTTAAATAGAAAAATTCTATGGCAACTTTTATCTCATTATGCACTCACGGAAGAATTCTTCGTTTTATATTGCATAGATACTAAAGTATGTGAATAAGTTTAAAATGTGTTGACGAGAAACTGTTTTATATGCGGGCGGCGCTTGGCTTGACTGACGCTTCGAGATTTACGAATAAAAATTTCATGAATTTCTATTATCGCCGTGTTTTCTCGACAGACCCTGGAGAGTTAAATAAAAAAAATCTGTTGATAATAGATATGCTTTTATTTTTGACAACTTGAATGTTGAGAAAAAAAACAATTATTAAAAAAAATTCAAAATTAATTCATTGGAATAGGCAGCTTATAATAAACTCATATGCACTTTAATCGTTTAAATTTACAATATACTTTTTTAATTCAATAGATTCTGTCAAAATAAAAAATTAATTTCAGAGTTGTGTAGAACTTTTCAATAAATATTCTACTATTTCCGATTCATTAGATAATTATGAACTGTGGAAACAATTAAATTTATAAATCCATATTTATTTTTGGTAAAAGTTCAATAACGTCCATGAATTTATTACGTCAAAATGATTGAGGAAAACTCCAATTATCGAAATTTGTTATTTTTGAGAACATTCTAACTACCATAAATATGACCATGATGAATTAAAGGAATTCTACGACAAAGCCCATGATACAGATACAAGAGGTAGGTGAGCTTAACAACTCCAAGTTTCGCTTTAATCCACAAAATCCGCGGTAGGCCGTGACAATTGATTCAAAGACTTAGTTACCAAGACGCAAAGTTTAGACACTACACCAATAATAATTCATTAAACTTGTTGTCATTACATACTAGAAAATATTGTTAATGTAAAACTAGTCCTGAAAAATTTTCTACGATGAATTTAATCGTTAATTTATCTTGTAAAATCTTCTTAATATAGTATTGATAAATGAAACTTTTTAAATTTCTATCATATTTCACCTAATATAATTCTATATTCAAATTATATGTAATTGAATTGTTAAAAAAATAATTATGGATTTAAACTTTTACTAATTCTTTTATTACCATTAATTCTTTTACTTTATTTCATGGTGTAAATTTATATTGATACCTTTGGCAAGAAAATGCCGTAGGGAGGATCATTTTTTAACCATCAATGTTTATATAATTTGAAATTTTCACACCAAATTATGCATTTACATTAAGTTAAGTGTTCAAACATTTTCAATAGCAACTTACTTCGAATTTCATATAATTTTCAGCGATAGTTAATTAATTATGATAAGTTTTCGGAGTAGTTTCAAATAGATTCGAATTGTGCGCCAGATAACAGTAGATTATTTATTTATCTTGGATTGTACATCCGAATGCTGTTATATGTCCAATTTTAATCCATATAATTGAGAGAGTAAGGAAAATTTTGTGACGGACATATTAGTAGATTTCATAAAAATTTAACTATTACAGCCGTTCTCATGGCGTAACTTTTGAAACATTTAGCCATTTTCTAACTCAGCTCGACAAACTGAGTCAGAAAATATCCTTCGTTCAAAAGTTCCTATATACGATATAACGCGGCTTGTCAGCACGATAGCGTTTTCAATTTCTAAACGACTCTTCTCAAACTCAACATGCTTCATCTATCGATGAAGACCAAGGTTAAGTTCGAAGATGAGCTTAATCGGGTGAGTAATTTAGAAATGACAGGATTTTGGAATTTTGAAAATCGTAAAAATTTATGTTTTTACCACTTCAACTTGGTGTAATTACTGAACTAAACAAGATATTGAAATTTAGTAAGTTGCACCGTAAAGCTCTTTTATTAAGCTTCAATTTTCACTCCTTAGAAGTGGTAATAGCCTCAATATTACTCATTTTAGAGTTTGTTTAATGAAACAGTTTCACTGTTGCAGCCGTTTTAGAATTGTTAGCTGTATCATAGTATAAACATGATGTAGATTCAATAATCATGATATTGATCAGCCTTTCGTGTAATCTATTCGGGTAGGTCGTCAGTAAATATGTCACAAATTAGTTTTAAATATTGTTTTCTTCAATTAAAATTTCATCCGGTTTCAAAATTCTGATCTACTTGGAAACTGTCATTCCTAAGCAGTCACTTAAAATTTGGACATTGCACGGTGAGAAATTTCTATTATTTTTTATTCTGCATGGATTTTAGATTTTACAATGGTGCATATTACTAGTGAACCTTATTGACTCAGAATAAAATTTTACAATGGCCCATAGTAATTTTCGAAACAAATGAAATCAGACATAGCAAATGGTAGAAATTGAAATGTACCATAGTAAAATGAAATATGCAATAATTTAAATTTCCGAATGTACTATAGCAAAAAAAATAAGAAAATGTTTGTAAAAAATAAAAAATTTTAGAGTAAAAAATATTTTTAGCAATCAAAAGAAATATCAAACCAAACAAGATTTTTTTTTGTATGTAATAATTTTTAAAAATATTGTTTTGAAATATAGTTTTTTTTTATTTGTTTTCTATTTTTTTTAATTTGAACGTAGGATTTATTTTGGCAATTAATTTTATTATAAATAATTATAAACACAATGTATAACTTTTAAATTATTTTTTATTATAATAATAATATATTATTAGAAAAGTGTTGGTTGCAGGTTAACCATCAAATGTTTGTTTTCATTTTAACGGAAAATTATTAAATATTTTATTATTTAGGAATCTTACAAATTTTTATTAACTATTCATATGTTGATGGATTTATAAATTAATATTTATTTAAAACTTAATGTTTATTGCAATTTTCATAACACCGTTAACCACTACTGATAGTGTCTGTACACTTATGTTGACAAAACAAAGCAGCACGAAAAAATGAGAGCGCGCGTCGCGACTGACGCGCATACTTTTACTATGGAACATTTGAAAATTTCATAGTCACAATTTCAAATTTAAACCGAGTACACGTGACTAAATGTCAAACTTTTTTATAAATTTTTATTGTCGACTGAGCAACAGAAATTTTACTATGGAACTATAATGAAAAGTTTTAAGCACACTAACAGTTTTTGTTCTGTCAGTTTACGAAAATTTTTTATATATGTTTATGTAACAGTTGCATGGTCAAATTTACTATGGTCCCTAGTAAATATTGATTGGTACAATATGATATTCTTAAATTTTTATGGTAATATTTTGAATTGAGTCATTAAGGTTCAGTCTTATTATGTATGCATAGTAAATTTCTACAGAAATTTCTCACCGTGTGATAAATGAAATCTCATATTCTTCAAAATTGTTTGATAAATATTCGAGGAACTTTTTATTTTACAAGATAATTTTTTGAACGAAATTAGTTTTAAATAGTTTAAAATTTATTATTGAAGTTTTTTTTTAATCAATGAATTAAGTTATATATTATTATTGTTAATATTATTTTTTAAAAAATGAATTTTCTTTATTTAAGAAATCTACTTCCATTTCGGCTGCCAAATGGCCTTTTTTTTTTCTTTTAAAAAAGATTTTTATAGTTAAATTTGGTGTCATTAGAAAGGTCACGACCTGAATTAATCTTTTTACGGGTTGATATTCTTTTTGGCGATAATCAATTTGTAATATAAGTAATTAAGTGAAAAAGGAAAATTCTGTGATGGACATATATTTTTGGTGACAGCAAATTTTTATGTTGATTTTTTGGAGTATTTTTAAATAGTTTGTTAATTCTATAAATTTGTTCCGTCACATTTGTCTGTTAAATAATTGGTAGTCATGACTTGCAATCCTGACAGCAATACTACTTTAAAAAGTTAATTTAAAAATTACCCAAAGAATGTATATTGTGATTAAAAATAAATCGTGATTCTCAGCCGTCTCAAAATAATTGCAGGTTGCTAGTTTTTAAAAAATAAATGAATAAAGTCATTAAACAAACCTGAACTCTACTTTCAGTCAATCCGATCCGCATGGCTATTTCTTCTCTTAGAAAAATGTCTGGATAATGAGTTTTACCAAAACATCTTTCCAATTCATTTAATTGGGCAGGAGTGAATCGTGTCCGATGGCGTTTCTGCTTTGTGGGTTTGTCATCACCCTGGCCAATACCACCGGCACCTCCTCATGAAAGTTAATTATTCATTAAACTTACTCAAGATGCTAATGATGAAAAATAATAAAAAAGTAAAAATAATAGTTTAAGTACTCTCTTACCTGCTCCAGGCATGCCCATTATTAATTCTTGATGAAGCGTAAGCCCTCCACCAGTAGACAGACCTCCTCCCAGACTTGTCCCCAGGACACCGTCCAATTTTTCGTGTTTCAGCTCTTGCGCATGAAGATCCTTCGCCCCTACAGCAAAGACACGTTATTTTAAACTATAAATTTCATTGAATTTTTCTTTCGTTTCCACAAACTTTCTAAACCTTTTCGAGGGATTTTTCCTTCTATTCTTTTAATAAAGTATTATTATTATTATTATTATTATTATTATTATTATTATTATTATTATTATTATTATTATTTTCTTATTATTTCTGTATCTTATCCCCGTATTCTTCGTTTCTGAGTGTCGGCAGTCAACGCAACCCTGTTGGGCTTGTAATTTAAATTTGTATAGGAGCAGAAGCCGACTGACCGGTGGCGAGGGACGTACAGATCACTTAGCACGAAGGTGTGAGAATCGTCACTGGCCTCCGCTTCTAAGCGAACAAATATACGCGAGCACAATATGACCACAGGGCTCACATGTTTCACCTCACAAGATTAACCGACAGAGAAAAACTAAAAGAGAGACTTGTATATTATTATACCTATGTAGCCAGTTAGAAGTGTTGAAAGATTGCTCATATAAGAGAAACATATGAGTTACTGTACGTCGATTGTTTGAGTGTTACTTTTGTGCTTTGACGGGTGTAATGTTGCGTAATGAACTAGTTTACTCTTTATCGATTGCAGTAAATACTGAAATGTTAATCTTTCAAAATTACTTTATTTTTATTCAAAATTTTATTTTTATTGGAAATCTCATGTGTACAAAAATTTTGTTATTTGTGCACATTGTATATTAAAACGATACAAAAACGGCGATAACGTTAGAAAGATAGGGGATAACTTTATTTTATTGAATATCTATACTGATATTATAAAGATTTGATTGTTTGTTTGCATCGAATAGACTCCGAAACTACTGAACCGATTCGAAAAATTCTTTCACTGTTGGGAAGCTACGCACTATCCCCGGGTAACATAGGCTATATTATATTATAATTAATTTTGAAATTATTGTTAAATACCCGTGCGAAGCCGGGGCGAACTGCTAGTATAATATAATATTGTAGATTTGTTTTTTGTGATGATATCAAAAAAAAAAAAAAAAAACGAAGTAGATGGAATAATGAAAATAAATGATTAATTACTTAAAAAAATAAAAAAAAGTTTACTTGAATCAAGAAAATTTTTCGACAAATCTCAATTGTTTTTGAGCAAAAAAAAAAATTTTATTTGAACAAGAAATTTTTTTAACTTTAGCCACAAAAAATTAGTTCTTTAATGAAGAATTGTTTCTTTCTGAGTGGTCATTAATAATTAATTATTGAAACTTATTACATTTGATCAGATCATTATTAAAATTAGCAGTTATTAGTCATTAATAAAGCTATTTAATCACCTCAATATCAATCATCGATTCCCATGAAAATTTAACTTTACAAAAAAATTATTGACAATTCGTTTTATTAAGCTTGCAGCAAGAGTCCACCAATATGTAGGAGACAAGTTTTGGTTCATTAGATTATACAGATTCAAGTATGCAAATTGTGAGTCCAGGTACATTTTTGAAAGTCTATAAAGTTAGCATTGTCACAGTATAGCATTATCATAAATTTATTTATTTATTTATTTATTTAATAATGCTAAGGCTGTTGCCAAATGGCAAGGTATACAAAATATTTTTGCAATAGTGGATACAATAATATAAGAATTAGAATATAATGAATATAACAATAAGAATGCTTATGATTAATTATAATATGATTTAAATTTAATTTTTTATATGATTTATATGATTTAACTAGGGTAGATGAGTTTATATAATATCTGTAGTTATACAGTCAAAGATAATAACAATGTTATTTATAATAACACCGAGAGTGACAATAAGTAACTTAGTTTGTCTCTTGTTCCATTAAATAATTAAACAGTTTGGTTTTAAAGACCTCAATATTGGAAGCACCAATAATATCAGGGGGCAATGTTTGCCAGAGACGAATAACAGTGATACCTCAAAATCTGTTCAATACCTGTAAATGCCTCAAAAGCTGTTCAATTACAAATTTTTGTTTATATTGTGTTAACTTTACGACTTTTTAAGCTGTAAATTTGATCCCTCATTGAGTTTCTGTTGCTTAACAACAATCCTAGATTTTGTCTAACGAGATTTTAAGTCATTGACGAAATTCAGTTATTCATTTTTCCCATTCTTGACCGAATGACCGTTCCAGTCTTGAGCAAATGGATTTACGAATAATATTCTAAGAGTTAATACTTGAAACAATACAAAACCGTTTTTTGAAAGGAAATTTTACGATTAAAGTATTGATAGAATTACGTTCTGACCTAACGTATCCCACAAAATTTGCATTTTTTTTTAAAAACAAAATGGAATTATATAATGATATTATGCAGCTTATGTAAAAGTTCAAGAAATAAAGTTATTGATCATTATTTTCAAACAAATATTATGATCCACAGTTGAACAAAAATTTGTGTTAGATTACACTATTTAATCTGACAAGTAATTGTATATCTAAATAATTTTTGAAAGAATAAATAAAATCACTCCATTATTATCTGATTTGACAAAACTTTTTTCAGCCTACAGTTATTTAAAAATTCTGGATCATTGGACTTTTGAAACTTGAAGCGAAATTATGATAATAACTAATTAATCAAGTATAAAACTAGTAACCGATGTACATTTGTTGGTGATGATGCTCAACTAAAACTGGATTTAAGTAATAAATTATCAGCTTAATATTGGTATTGAACACCTTCGCCGAAGATAATTAATTTATATTGTTTGCTACAAAACATGTCATTACAAAAATAACGAGTATAAGAAGAATGATAAATGGAAAACATTTTTCTGTTTAATATATCACTCAAACAGATATTGTAAATTCTTAAAACTGTAAGAAAATGCTAATTTTTCTTTTATTAAAAATCTTAAATACATAAGAAAAATATTAAAGAATATTTTTGTTAAACTTTCCGTTATAAAGATTCAAAACTCAAACAAATTGAGAAGTTATTTTTTACAAAAAAAATACAACCACTAATCCTCTGTGAAAATATGAAACAATAACAATGTGCTTTGGATATACTTTGCGAAACTTAAACATTATAGTTTACTAGTTGATACCCGCCCGAATCACTGTTTTAAGTAGTCCATCCATTACTTTTCAAGTTTTGACATCAGAACTATGTATATGCATACGAAAACTGAATTTCTATATCAAGAAGGAGAAAAAGAAAGAGAAGAAAATAGTATTTCTATATATTCTAAATTTAACAATATAAATCAAAGACATGTGTTTTTTAGTTAAGAACCTGTTTTATATAAATTTCAACAACTTTTATTGTGTAAATAATTTTAGCGAGATTGTTTGTATATTTTTAATAATAAATGAAAACAAAAAATTGAAAAACTTCATAAGATGTGTATAAAGACTTTATAAAATTATTTTCACGAACATTTAATTGTTCAATTAATACAAAATCACCGCCGTACATTGTGGTTATAAACGCATGGTTATTTTCAATAAACAATTTTATTTTTCACCTTAACTCTTGACTGCAAGTTTGACAATTTGGAAGAACTAATTTTTTCGAATTGAATTGTTGCTCCATATTCATTCAATCGAAGAAGAATTTTGTTCGTAGTGTCGCGTGTTCAACCAAATACAAATAAAAAAAATTAAGAGACCACCATGTGCGCGATAACTTTACGTCAATGAAGAGATCCTTTTGAAAAACTCTTTTAGCATGAATGAACGTTTACGACTGGGCTCCACTTCACATTTTATTTTCCACCAACTCATCTCAAATGGTTTTATTTCGATTTTATTGGCTGTCAGATTGTAAACCGGCTGTTCGAGGAACGTTTTATTTACAAGAACTATCGTTATTTTTTCTTTGATCTACCGTCACACTTGTTCATCTCATTATTGCGTATTATACATTTTTTTTTGGTATCATTTTAACACATACAAATAGTCCATTCAATCTTTTTTTTTTTTTCTATTAATCATACGCACAATTATTATTTCACAAATTTTTTATAGAATTTTCTTTGCAATCATCACTAACATCTGAATATTTATCAATTAACTTTATTTCATACTCATTAAAATTACTAAATAAATTTTCAATAATTGCACGAATTAATGGCAGTGAAATTAAACTAATATGTGTTTGAATAAAAAAGTAAAAATGTTATGGTAAAATAAATTAATAACTATCGATTCTAATCTAACCATTAAATATGTTATCAATATTATTATTGTGCCTAATTAATGTAAGATGAGTAACAAACTTACCGGTGATGCCATGAATGGAAGTTCCTGCAGAAATATTGTTGAGCATCCCTCCCCAGGAGCAATACTCCTGCACTCCCCGCGGCAATCTTCGTTCAATCGTAACCACTTTAGCAACAACAAGAACCGTAAGAAACAAAATCGAGTGCCGATTAAATCGAGACCCGATATTACAGACAATCAAATGACCGAACGGCCCGAACCTTAGGAAGGCAAACGACAAACTGCTTGGCTGCCATATCCAAACTCCCCCTTCTCATGCACCCATATAGCTGTCCTTGTCTCGCACCCGCACTCTGTCTGACCTACAACGGGACTATCTACTCGCGAGAATGTATAGTAGTGATATTCTCTCTCTTATTCTCACATAAAATCACCCTGCTATCAAACACTGTTTCTTTCTATTCAACGAAAGGTACTTGTTCGTGGGCGTGATATTAAATTGTATCTATTCTTCGACTTCGACGCTTTATCAGGAACGTACATAAACCAAATGAACCCTTTACAAATCACACGCAAGTTATATAATAAAATGAATAATTTAAGAGTTAAAAAGTTGAATAAAAATCGAAATATTTATGAAATTAATTATCTATCAATTGTTTGGCACTAAATGTAATAGAAAATAAATATTTGCTGTCACTAAGCTGAGTAATTGAAACCATTAGTTTTTGGGTAAATGAATAGAAAAAAATGAATATCAAAGAACACATGTAATTGGATGAAATAATTGCCATAAATGGAATGAATTTGATAGAATGCATCTTTTCATTTGACGAATCGAAAATAAAACGAAAATTACAATAAGTATAAGTGTGGGCGCGAGAAGAAACGAAGTTAAGCCACGTTTGTTATCAATGCCAGCTTTATCAGGCTGTATATGTGTACGTTGTAGGCGTAACCGTTGCAAACCACCCTCCAATGAGAAGGTAGCCCGCCCTCCGGATGCCCCACTGGGTTCGCAACGCAGAGATTTATTGAAATTTTATTTTTATGGATGGCGAGCGTACCGCGCGCGCGAACTCACCGACGGTACAAGCAACGTGCACCGTTCTGTATCTGAGTGTCGGATAGAGAAAGAAACAACTCAACTGTTCCATCAGGGGATGGTAGTAGGGGATGAATAGCCCAGCCAAAGAAGAGATTGCTCCTCCACCCTGCCTTTGTTTTCTCATTTTTTTATTATTTTTTTTTTACTTCGAGGTACACTCTATCTTTGGCTCTATCTTTCTTCTTTTATTTATTTATTGTTTGTATATACTCTTTCTTAGCTTATAGGTTTTCTTTTGTTTTATTGCAAACTACTTAGCTTTTCACTATATTGTAAATTTATATAGAATTTTGTTTTTGCGTTGTAAGTAATTATACAACTTTGTAATTTGTTTTTAGCACTTTTAGGATGCTGTTCGAGGTATTGTAATAGAAAAAATTATTGTAATTAATTACTTTTTAAATAAATATTTTTAAATGTTTAAAAAGTCAGAATACGTCAGAATAACTTTAATCGAGTATATCGATCTTTATTCAGTCAGCTGAATCGAGGTCTATTAAAATGATATAAAAATAATTATTCATCATAAAATAATTTTACTCGAAAATCAATTTAACAGATTCACTCTAAAATTCTTTTGTGCAAAATGCAGTACACTCAAATGAATTAACAGTATTTTTATTATTTTATTAGGATATTTTATGAGTTGAAAATAAAACATTTTTTTTTATAATAAAATATTTATACTTGCTTGTTACGTTATGATTGTGTAATATTCACACGTCAGTCGTTTGACAGATAATTCACTGGCCCTGTCAATTTTTTATTTCTAGAACTAACACATTGGACCACCACAATAACCCAGTTATATACTTCATCAAAGAGTTCAAAAATTGAAAAGTTGAATTAATTACAGTTTCATTAGACATTCACAACGCGCGCTAAGACCCTCAATTTTTAATCAAAACTTTTGATTCATCATGAATGAATTAATCCTGTCCATTTTGGAAAGCGCGCAATTTAGAGCGTATTGACTTTACACATGAGTCATACATGAAATTGCTCTATTTTGGGACAATATTACTTGTAAATCTGCTATATTGTATTCAGAATTAATAATGGTCGAATATTATCGATTTATTTAGCGGTGTGCGTGTTCTCCAATGTCTTTCTTGCTAATATATAATCTGTAGAAAGTAAATATTTACGGAAAATACGACTTATCTTTTCCTAAGAAAAAAATTTTGATATGGGCTATTCTAGTCATATGTGACCATGTCAGGCTATATATGAGAATAAAAAAATAAATTATAATTTTTTATTTTTTTTTAGGAATATGTACGTTAATTAACATATTTTATCCAACGAAAATTGGTTTAGTAATTGATTAAACTAACAACAAATGTCAGATAAACTCCTAAAATGAATCAAAAAATAATTTTCATTTCAGAACAACATACCTCAAACTTGACTCTTTTTTAAGAAGACGACATAAAAATTATAAATGGGTGTATATGATCATATGAGGCTTAGTATGAGTATATCTTCAGTCTTGTAAAGTCAAATACATCCTTATCTTGCATGACGTAGCCAATTTTCATAAGGCAATATGGGGTCACATCGGGTCATGTCAGACAATTTTTTCACGGGTATAGCTAATTAATATATTCCGTATACGTATGCACAAAACGCATGGAATATATTTTTTGTGTATGAATATATCTGCATGTATTTGTACATTTATTTAGCTTTTGTAAAAATATTTATATTCTTCCGTTCGGACAATAATGCATGCAATAAATTTCCAAGTGTTATTAAAACAGGAACAACATAAGAAAACGAAAAAGTATTAAAGTAATAGTGTCTGTATGTGATCGATTTTAAACCCACAGCTGCGACGAGGAACACCAAATTGACAATGTGTCCAATGCAGCTCGTATGTTTCATCGCCTCTGTTGTTTAAAGCTTCCCTGTGGACAAAACTGAAAACTATAAAATTTTAGTCCTCTCACTATTCACTGATCAATTTATTGAAACGTATAATTGTCACAGTCAATTTAAGGATTTAAGCTGCTCCTTATTAAATATAAAAGTTATTTCTTCAAACTGGGTAGCGGCATACACTATGTTCATTAATTACACATGTTATATTTGAAATAATTAATTAAGTAGCATGTTTGATTAAAATGCGCAGATTGTTTCAATGTTTGAGGAACAGGGAATATTCTGTTTTCTAAATAGAATATGGATGCATATAAATTCGATATATATGTTGCTTTTGGAATACATTGCAAAGGCATACCGTTTTCAATAGCAGACGAGTGTGCAGAACTGAAACTTCATGGGATCACAACGAGCAACACAGGTAGGAATTTCTGATATTACATACCTGAAACTGGAATGCTCTCTCTCGTACAAAACAACCCCGATAGCATACGAATTGTTATCTCCACATATACCTATACATTCACCCTTGACTATGCATTATTTCACCAGTAGTTGCTTCATATGCCAATTTATCTCTCGTATCTTCTGCATTGCTTCCCAGTTATTTTTTATTTAGTTTAATTTTTCACTTTTTATGAAAATTATTGTATATTTTTATAACATTATGCTTTCGGCAATATTCAAGCAACGCCATAAAAAGAAAGCAAACATTTTGAAAAATAAAAAGTTAGAAAAACGGTTCACCCTAAAGGCCATCCCTGCAACTTCCCGCTCATTTTGTACTTGAACGCTTCAAACTACACATTACATTTTTGAGCTCTTCGAGCTCAAAAATATTATTTTTGTGTCAATTTGAGCTCTTCGAGCTCAAAACTCTAATAGCAGTTTAAAGACACAATTTTTTGAATTTTCAAACGGCAATAACTTTTGAATGAATGAACCGATTTTCACGCGGTTGGCGGCAATCGACGCAGTTTTTGAAGTTCCATGAAAAATTTTCAATTTTAAATCGATCGAGCCATGAATTTCGAAGTTATTACAAAAAAACACTTTTTTCGATTTTTTTCGACAACGATATCTCACGAACACATCAACCGATTCTAACGTTTTTGGTAGTGATCGATGGGGGTTTTCAAGGTTAAGAGCTGATTAGTTTTTGAGACCGATCGGTTCAGCCAATTCGGAGATATTCGAAAAAAATAAAAAAAAACAACTTTTTTTTTTCACTTTTTTTTCACTTTTTTTGCATTTTCTCGAAATCTACCGGTCCGAATCGGTTCAAATTTTCAGGAAATCTAAGTTTAGTGAAGCCCTTTCGAATGACACCAACCGCGATGAAATCGCCGGTCAAGTCGTTCAAAAGTTACAAGAGGTTTACATACATACATACATATACACACACACACACACACACACACACACACACACACACACACACACACACACACACACACACACACACACACACACACACACACACACACACACACACACACACACACACACACACACACACACACACACACACACACACACACACACACACCAGGACCGATGGACATCGGGAGAGATGGGCAGATGGACGGCGCGCCTGATCTCAAACATCAACGTCTGGCTTTCTCGGAAGCACGGGGATACGGAATTCTTCCTGACCCAACTATTGACGGGACATGGGCAGTTCGATGCTTATCTTTTCAAGATGGGTTTGCACAGTACACCAACGTGCAAATACTGCCCAGACAAAATTGACAACGTCGAACACACGTTTTTCGGGTGTGATCGGTGGAAGGACGACAGAACCAGCATCGAAGAAACAATAGGCACCACGCTCTTCCCTGAGAGCTTGGTAACCTGCATGATAAAAAAAGAAGAAAACTGGTCAGCTGTCGCAGCCTACGCGCAGCGCCTTTTAAAAGAAAAAATCGCAGAAAGGGATTAGAAACCAGTAATTAGTAACAAGAAGTAGGTGTCATGAGACACAACATGGACTGGATTGAAGTAATGCTAACGCGGTCCCGTTCCAGTCATCCCTGTAACATCTATAGGGAAAGGAGAGAGGAGGATGTTTAGTCGGTATTGTTGCAAATATTGACTTCCGAGTCCGACATACCCAGGCACCAACACCTAGTCCTGGCAACAACACCAAGCCCTGGCATACGTAAATGTATTTTACCTCCTCTATAAAAAAAACACACACACACACACCGTCGTACGGACATCATCGTAAAAATAGTCAGGGAAGCTTCCTGTGACCTTCAAACGTCGAGATCTGATGAAAACTCGATTTTTGTAAAACGGGGT